AAGTGGCAAGATTGAAAAAGTATGAACTGTACTCTTCCCATATGAATACCTTCCAAATCTTATCCCTTGGAATTGGTGGTGGAAGGAATTCTGAAGTAATTTTAACCTCTGTATCTCCTTCTCCTCAACCCATATTGGACACGATCTAAAGTACGAGGTGGGGGGGGGACAAGTGCAGTTGACACAATGTGGCTGCAAATGAATGACACCTACTGCTATCGTGGTTGTTACCAGTGCAACAAACTCAAACTAGAAAATTACAGCAAGATGTTTAGGAATACCCAAACCACTGATAATAACACTAGAGGGGGTTTGGAATATATGGAAGACATAGGGTTTCAAATAACCTACCTTTATATCAGCTGGTGGTCATGGTAATATCAATGTTAATATTAAAACCTGTCAGCTTTTACACTTTACTTCTAAATAGATTCATTTAATAGCTAATACACCTTTGCCAGATAGCTTATAAAGAATCAATAAAGAATCAGAAATTCAGGGACACTAATAAAAACCACCTCAACAACAACTCTTCAGGAATTTAAAGTTTTCCACCAATAATCTTTGACTTCAAAATGAGTTCACTGTTGTATGGTTGTTATATTTCAACCAGCACATCCCGAGATATTAATTTCTTTACTAAGTTTGAAGAGCTGGCAAGCTCTTTATGTAATTTTCTATAAAAAGGAGAGATCTTGGAGTGTTATTTTTCTGATAATTGATGTAATATCTGACATTTTGGTACAGGAATTGTTGGAGATGAAAAGTATGTGCTAATAGTCATCTGAAAGTGGTTCATTTTGTCACTGTTGATAAAATAGTCATACAGGTTTTTTAAAAAGTTACAATTTAGTGTCCCCTTACTCTGCAACTATGAGGTTTTACAAGGGGACATGTTACATGTCTTAAATGGGATAGACAAGAAATGATAAGTTTAGTTGGGATTATTTTTAGTTGTGATGCCCTTATGTATAAAGCTTCCTTTATGTAGCCAACAAATGTTTTTCTTTGGATTCACTACAGTAATTAAGTTCAGGACGTAATTATAATGTTTTAATCTCCCTTAGGGTCAATAACTATCAATGGTTAAGGTCAAATGAGTGCCAGAATTTGACGTCCTTAATGGTTCTTGTAGACATTGTGCGATACTGGTGTTTGGTTTTATAGTGGGTGATTCAGTGTAATACACCTGAAGGCTGTCAAAATCTTCTGTTTGTGAGCCTAACTGAAAAAAACTGCATTATTGTTTAAAAACTCGCATAACTGTTGAGAAAACATACAACCATTGAATATTAATTCTGAATTAATTGATAAATTTCATATCTCCAACTAACTATTTTACTCTCATAAAAGTCCAAAAATGCTATAATAGTAGCTAAACTTGTTTCTCTGTTCATTGTGATCAGTGGAGAAACTGGATGTGGAAAAACAACTCAGGTTAGTAATGTATCAATTGAGATTGAGTTTTACTCTTCACTAGCTTTGAGATTCAACAGCAACTGACTGATTTCCTTCAATCAATTTAACAATTTCCTGTACAGATATAAAACAGTTTCAACTATTACTTTGAAATTAAGTGTAATAAAAATATAAAAAAAGGTAAAGATACTTATTTTATTACATATATAGTTCAAGTACAACACAAACTGGATAAATAAAAGGTTAAAAAAAAGATTACTGAGAACTATTTTTACTATAGAAGATTTTTATTTCTGTAGGTTCTCATAATTACCAGTTATATTTTAAAGTAATCACAGATTGGTCATTTGACCAAAGATATATAAATAGGTTATGGATCCATCTAATTACAAAAAGTTTGTTGAGAAAAACAAGGACAAGAAACATGCAATTCGTGAATAAGTATGATAGTACCGGAATCTAATCATCCAAAATTAAATGATGATAATATACCTACCCTCCTCATGTTATAAGAATGATAATATACCTACCCTCCTCATGTTATAAGAATGATAATATACCTACCCTCCTCATGTTATAAGAATGATAATATACCTACCCTCCTCATGTTATAAGAATGATAATATACCTACCCTCCTCATGTTATAAGAATGATAATATACCTACCCTCCTCATGTTATAAGAAGGAAGTTTTTTTCGAAATTCAAGCATCTTTTGATACTTGGATTTTTGCATATTTTCTAACAATTGAGTTTTTAGCTTGAGATCTAAACTTTGATCTCCCTGAATGCAAGTTATACTGGAATTGTGTAGTTTTTGACGTTCTTCTTCTGCACGAAAACTTTCTTTGAGGTGTTCTTGATAACGATTCCAGGTTTGGTTTTTTTCCCTGGAATCCAACCAGTCCATTGCATCTTCTTGATCATTACATGATGCTGTAGATGAAGATTCTCCTATCTTTTTTGACTGATGATATGATGGTTTAAAATCTGAAGTTTTCCTGATTTTCTCCAAGAGATTGCTTATATGCTGCTCATGATGGTGATCCATTGATATTGTTGATCTCTAAACACAAAATAAAAATCAATACTTAATTATATTGATAATAATGTCACTGTAAAATTTGGTACAGTTATATAATTAGTGTACAATAAACCTTGGAATGCCATCGAGATCCATCGCAGCAACTGCTACATATGTACAGTTTTTGTATATCAGTTGATATGCTTATGTTCATGTGGTATATCCAGGTAAAACTCGTTATTTCTAGAGCAATGGGATAGATTAACAGGAGTTCCAACACAATATCTATTACAGAACAATACTGAGTGTGTTTACTTGCTTCGAACAATGAACTGTTGCATATACTGAATTGGAACTATTCTCTCAGACTGATCAGACCAAAATCATCTACCAGACTATTTAAATTCAACATTCCTTACTTCACGGGTAGCATCGGATTTACCCATAGCTACTAGCACTACCCAAGTGACTGGTTATTTGGGGAGGTCATAATCTTACAATACCAGCTGACCTACAATTGAATGACAATGCTGTTTACATTCTTGTACAATGTTTAGCATTACAGCCATGTCCTCATGGACAGAACAAATGTGATTTCAATAAAATGACAAGGAACGAAGGCAGCTAAAACAAAATCAACTTAATGACTTTCTTGACCACGTTATGTGAAAACATCACATACTCAGAATAAGTGATAAGCTTAGAATAACACTATATTGATATAAGAAGGCAGAAAATGTACAGTATGTTTATATACTATATTTATGATGAGCTTAGAATAACACTATATTGATATAAGAAGGCAGAAAATGTACAGTTTATATATACTA